CTGGCCTCTAGACTGAACCTGCACCGCCCCTTGGGTGGGACACTCGAGGCTGCTCATGCCCAGAAGTAATGCGTGTTGCCTTGCCTTCAAGAGATGCCCTAGGTCAACCGGAACCACTCAGGTGCATCCTGCCTGTCCCTCCTGCTTACCCTGGGGCACTCGGGAGACACACGCCAAGGGCCCGAGCTCCCAGCCACGGGCCCCTCAGGCTTAGCATCACAACCCCGCACAATGTTTCTCCATGAAACAGACAGAGAAGGTGACTGGCCCAAGGTCACTCAGCTGGGTGAGGCAAAACCAGGCCCAGAATCTGGGTCCCGCATGTTCCAGGCCTCTCAGACCAGCTGCCAAGAGGAATCCGCCCCTTCCTGCTAATTTCTTTCCTATTGTTCGCTAATGACAGAAGTTACCAGCACAAACTTTCAAAACAATACGAAGGGCACGGTGGTTGTTCTTATGGGGGGAAGGGAGGAAAGAGAAACTTTATACATAATAATTTTTGATATCGAATGAGGAATGGAGGTGACGAGGAGAGGCCAGAGTGTGGCACGTTTAATTTAAGCCAGGCCGGCGAGGGGCAGCTTCCACTGCAGCCATAATAAATTACCCACAAGTGCCACCGAACAATAACAAAAAACTGTGGGCCATCTATTTCAGTCCCATTTACAAGAAATCAATATCAATACTTAATGCAATACTGGTGAAAAATGAGCAGAGATACAGCAAGCATAATAAACCAGGAATGCTAAGCTCACAGTGTTTCACTTGGGAAGAAAAAACTAACTGTCTATATTTTCATGTTGAGGGATATTTCACTGAAACCATGTGCTGGAGGTGTGAGGGTTTTCCAGATCTAAGTTTAAAATAACCTCTTTATTAAATTAAGGAAGTTCTTTAAACTGTGGATTACTAGCTGGATAAAAGTCATCCATATGGAAGGAGGCATTTCATCTTTCACAATGTATTGGGCCTCTTTCTACAAATTTTCTCACAATAGCCTTAGTTTTATTATGCACATTTCCCACACTGTTTATGCTATAACAGCCTACCTTTGTGTTTGGGCCAGATAGAAAACACTAATCTCTACTTATTCTTGGCGTCAAACCAGATAAATTTGGGCAGCTGGGTCAGGGGTGGGGTGGGGAAAACACACCAGAGGCCCAAGATACATCTGTACAAATGCACAGCATATCCAGAAACTCCCCCCACAGTGCAGAACAGACCTTGTCGGTTCCTTCACCTGGTGATGTGACAAGCAGACACTACCATCTCGCTTTGGACTGTCTATGGCCACTCAGTTTGACCAGAAGTAAGGCCATCAGACCACCTGTGCACCTCAGCAGCAGGCTCACCTCCTAGAGGTGGCCGGGAGCCAGATCCTCCAAGCCAACCGCGGCAGAGCAAGCAGTGCCCAGCCACACGCAACAGTTTATCAACCAGTCCCCACCAGGTAGGGTGCAAATACCAAAGCATTTTATTTCTCTGAACACCACCCCCGACACTGTGGTACCAAATATCCCTTGCCTGTGAGAAGCACATCCTGTAGGGGCCTACTGCTGATCACTGGGCGTGAACGGAGCGCCTGAGCCTGGGGAGGGACGGGAGGGCAGTCACAGCCGAGCCCATTAGGAGACAGTCTGAAGGAGCCTCGTAAGCCTTACATGCTGCTGGGCACGCAGCGGGGATCACGGCGGGGCAATGTGGTGCGGTTTTGTGCAGTTAAAGAAACCCCAACTAAAAGTGGAGTTGGGGCAGGTCTGAAGGGCGCGCTTTCACCCACCCCCTCCCCAGGCAAGGCCAATTACTCCAAATAGGAAGAGTCACACACTTACATCTCAGACAGGAAGGTTCCTCTACATTACTCTCCAGCAGGAAGAAAACCTCTCTCTGGCCCCTGTCAGCCCAGCCAATCAGAGACTGTGACAGTCCAGCCAATCAGAGACTCTAGCAGCCCAACCAATGAAAAGCCTCCATACTTTGGATTCCCAACTTCCTCCAATGGATTCTGCGGTTACTGCAGCCCCTCCCAACTCTGCCCTTCCCCTGTAAAAGCAGGCTTCCCGCGCTTGTTCTCTGGATTTGCCAGTGGGTTTCCATAATTCACGTTTCCTGAATTCTAATTCCTCTGACTAGTCCTGAATAAACTCACTTTTACTGGTAAAATAGATGGCTATTACATTATTAAAGTTGGCATATTGAACATTGGGAAGATACTCCGATGGCTGGAGGACAGATAGGTGGAATATTGGGAAAACATTCTGGTGGCTGGAGGGAAGGACGAGAAGTGAGAAATGGAGCAGGAGGCGGTTGGAGGGGTCCAGCTGAGGGAGAACGCCTGGCAAGAAGCGTGTCCAGGAGAACGGAGAGGAGTGGGGTGGAAATGATGAAAGACACCACAGAAGAGGAATTAAGAGGACTCATACTCAAAGGAGCGTGGAAGGAGGGAGGGGAGGAGATTGTGAGAATGCCCAGGTGTCTGAGTGCGTGACCGTATCACTGACCAGGACAGTGGGGGGATGCAGGCTTGAAGGGTCTGGAGGAAACATGGTCAGCATCATGTATGACAGTGTGTCTTTGAAGAGCCTGTGGGTCATCCAGGATGGCTGGGGCTAGAGATGCCAGCCTGGGGTCTCCAGTGTTGCAAGGGGTGGAAGTCATCTTGCGGACGGACATGCCCAGCCCCACCTTACTAAGACTCCGCAGCGCCAGTGCCCTCTCGAAATGAGAGCTGTCCGGGTGCTCACAGCCCGAACCCACCTGCACACCGTGAAGTCTGTCTGAGCTCTCATTCTCTGCATCTTGCATATGTCATAGGGTCCCCATTTGAAGAGGATCAGAGTGTGGACCTCCTCACTCCCAGCCAGTGACTTCTTTCCATCATCAGGAACCAGGGCTTTTGTTTGCCTGTTCATTTGGTATCATCTGTAATTTTCTATGGTACTCGCGGCACAAAGTAACTAAACTTTTCTCAAGCAACTGAAAACACATAAATAATACAATGATCCAAAGAGACTGGGCAAAGGACATCCAATGCCACCTCATTCTGGTCCATCTTCCTTTTGAAGCACTTGCTGTTAGGTAACTGGGCATTCATTCATTCAGTCAGTCGTTCAGCAGCATTCGCATGGCTAGCTAGACGTACAGAAGGCGAGAGGATGCGGTTACTCCCACCTGAGGAACAGCAGCACAGCGGGGCTGGCACTCAGCTGAGCCTTGCTGGATGGGGAAGCTCGTCAGCCAGAAGATGAAGGAGAGTGTCCCACTCAGAGGGACCAATGCGGAAAGCCTGGGGGCCTGCCGGCCAATGGCAGCCTTGAGAATTGTGAGCAGTTAGGAAGTCACTGTGGATTTGCAGAAAATTGAGATGACCGTACTGCAGTCTGCTGTTTCCTGTGACAGGCTCCTGTTCACCCTTCAAGTGCCAATTCAGGCCTCACCTCCTCCAGGAAGCCTTCCTGTCAGGTGGGGCTGGGTGTTCCCATCTCTCTGTATTCACAGCCCTGTTTGTGCACTTGTCTGGCAGGGGCAGGGCCTACTGCTGGATGAACTCCCAGCTTCCACAGGGCACAGACTGACCCACTCTTTGCAGCATCCTCGGTCCCTGGCCCAGGCCTGAAGCAGAGCAGTGCACAGCCAAACATCACAGCGATGGCCTCGTGGGCTTGCCGGGAGGATTACAGGAAGCCAGCTTTGTAAAGGGTTTAGCATGGGGCCCAGCCAGGGGAAGTGCGCAATAAACAGCCATGTTCTTACTAAATGTTTGCTGAGTAAGGGGCAAATTCTTTTGACCTCTCTTCTTACTGGTGGGGATTTCAGAGCCACACCAATGAGGAGGGGGCAGTAGAAGGTGGAGTCATCCTCTGCCTGTCCTCAGTCCTACACCCATGAGAAGGCTTGCAAAGGTAATTGAGGGGAGGAAACCAATTTTTAAATATCCCTCCTTTTGTGCTTTGATCATCAGATGGGAATGTCATACTTTCGGAAATGCTCTAAGCCAGTTTGCACAGTCCTTTCTGCAGGAAATAATGTGTGTGTTGGGGGTAGATGCATATGTGAGTGTGTGCAACCTCTGTCTATTCTTCAACAATTGATTGGCCAAAAGCAGGTGGCTTCGAAGGTGAATTAACTCCTTACTGGAAAGACTGACCTGTAAACATCTAGTGAGAAGGAACCTTAGACTCTGCTGTACAGGAAGATGTTTCAGGGTACAAAGCCAGGTGAGTAAGATGTGTAACTTTTGTTTAACATATGTGAACCTAATTTTTATCTTAAGTCCTCATTTCTCTGAAACTCATTTTCAGCTAATTTAGTGCTGGTTTAGCCAGCCCTAGGGCCGCACGTAAGTTTCTGCTGGGGCTTCCAGGTGGCTGAGGGTCTGGTCCTGGCCGCTGTCATTCTCACCACAAGGTCATCGACGTGACATCACTCCCTACTGGTCTTAGCACTGACCCGCTCCTGTTGGCCCCTGGAGGACACTGCTGCACCCTCTGCCTCCCAGCTCGTCCCCATGGCCTCTCCCCCTCCCTCCCTTCCC